TAAGAAATATAGGAAATCATATTTCGTATTAGCAGAGGTCAAAATAAGAAATATAGGAAATCATATTTCGTATTTTAGTTGGTGAGTTGGTCCCTTTTTCTAGTAATTGAATCTTGATATTAAATTGGAAGTCTATTATAATATTATTTTAGCGATATCTATCTGATTTAATAATTAAGATAATTAGCTCAATTAATTAATTTTTATGGGCTCGATTATCATCTAAGAAATGATTAAGAAATAAAGAATATATAATGATTGGGGAGGCTGAGAAATATAGAACTAGCTCAGCGGTCAAATCTGCTTTCATGACATGATGTTCAGGCTGCTAGCTGCTGGGTCATTGCAGACATCAGATGCTATTGTGCGCCGAAAATTTGCAATGGCTTCGGGGTGGGGACTATCTCTCTATATAGCCACCAGTTCAACCAAGTAGGTTGTGCCAATGAGGGTTGTGTCAGCGTGCACAAGTCTTCCGATGCATGGCTTGCGAAGTTTCGGAGATGTCCCTGAAGACTAGACTTCATCATAATATAAGGCCTTGGGTTCTTGCCCCACATGCACCAACCTGTGCTTCCTGCATGTGCCTAGACTTTTTGCACCTACAACTCGCAGCCGCAACTACTTCTTGCCTAAACTGAATCTTGAACAATTGTTTACTCTTCCATGAATCCTCATCGAAAGCATGCTGCCCGTACTCCCATGCCCGCATGTGCATCAAAGCCACTGGAAGCAAGAGCCCTCGGAGGCCACGGGAGCCCTTTTTCTGTCTGTCTGAACGCCACAGTCAGCCTTCCTTGAGTGCTGGCCTAGTGACTTGAAACCTGGCAAGCAACGCCACGAAGCTGTGGCAGAACTTCAGGCTCTGGCTGCATCTTAACAGCCAGCAACCCACAAGATAGCGGTGATCATGGTCATCAGCTCTCTAGCGCAGCCAATCACCTCACAGCCTCGTCTGGGAGGCTTCTACTTGAACTGTCACTCCGGAAGGCACTCTTGCCTTTGACCCACTGGTTTTTCAGCGTGCCTCACGGAGGTGGACCCAAGACCTCAGGGCCGCAGCTGAAACACTGACACCCAAGTCCGGATTGGACCGCAAAGCCACCTGGAACTGAAGAATCTCCTCCAAAGCAGCCGAATACTCGGATTGATGCTTTGCCCATTGTAAGGAAGCGTTCTGTAGCAATCTGCTTGAATAAGTGTGCGTGGGGTTGTCAAGCCGTCAAGCTTTGAGCAAGCCGGGAGTCTTTGGAACTCTTGTCCTGACGATTGTGTATGCATATTGTGTCGCAAGTTGTTTGCGGAAAACCCCTGCTGAGGCCATGCAGAATCGCAGAAAGTCCAAACTCTCCACCGCGAATTCATCTGTGACGCTGCGAATATCATTCAACCCTGAGCTCAGGCTAAATCTTTGTCATCCCCTCGTCTGGCAGCAGCGTTGGCTGCCAGCGGGGCTGGCACGGCTAGCGGGTCGGACGGAGCTCCGTCCATGGACACCCAATCAAAGATGCTCGTACCTCGGGCGCTCTGAGCAGGAAGGGATCGAGAACCACAGTGGCAGGAGGTGATGTCGGCCATCATCTGGCCCCACGGGGTGCAGTGCCTCATGATGTGGTTAGCCGCGGTTGTCACCTGTGTCTTGACAGGGTATCGCTGCTCCTCCACGACCTCACTGTAGATCACTCCCTCTCCCACCACGTCGAAGATACACATGAAATGCATGGCTGAGGCAGCCGCTAAAATGACACCTCCAAGGCACACCAAAGACTTGTCTCTCACGTAGTACTGGCTGTCCTCATCTGTGAACTTCTCTTGCCACAAAGTCAAAACAGAAGCCTGCCAGGCAATCACACCAGCACATCCCACGCCGGCTGCCTGGAAAAGCATACATGAGGCTTTGAGAAGCATCACCTCCTCTGATATCGATGCGTTGCGTTGCACTTCTGCTGCGTGCTCCGCACCCTCGAAATACTCGAAGGCTTGCAGGCTTACATCTTGCAGGGCGTTACGCTCGAGGTGTGCCAATGTCTCCGCATAAAAGTCAACGCAGCTTGAAAGGCAAGAGTACAGAAGCTCGGCCACTGAGTTCTCAGCATCTGCTGCTGCGCGTAGATGGCCCAGTGTGGCATGCAGTGGCCCCACCAAGACGATGAACAACCCTGAGAGAATCATAGTGCCAAAATGGTACCGTATGCAGCTGTATAGGGCCCTTGGAGCATTGCATTGCTGAAGGGAAACTTTCCCACGGGAGAAAAACCAAACTTGCCCAACATAATAATTGCAGTAATAAAAGACTGACGTGGCGGTACCATTGCACCAAATGTAGAAGAGCACAGAAATAATCATGTACATCCAAAAATCTTCATACCTGTCAACTGGAGGAAACTTGAACCACTTGGAGGTCCAGGGGTTCTCGACTTCTGCCAACTTGTCATGGACCTGGAAGCGATAAAGGCAAAGAAGCACGTAGAGCAGCCAGACCATCAAGCAAATCCGGACAGCCAGGATCCCGATGGGCAGGGCAGCTATGACAGGGCCGGACAGAATGCAAGAGCATGCCATCTCCAAAGTGTGCCCCACCATATCCAGATCTGAGTGCAAATTGTTCATGGTCCGCAAGAGGAAGAAGCCACAAATGCCTGCACCGAGACATTTGAACAAGTCATCCAGATGCCCTGCCTCCTGTCCCGTCCAAAAACGGCAGCCTTCTTTGAAGCAGTAGCCATACACGCAAAAAGTGGCGGCAGCAAAGAGCAAAAGCACAGTCAGCGACAGCCAAATTAAGGTGCGCGAGTACTTCGACAAGAGCATGAGATAGAAAAGCGAGAACAGAGTTGACGTGGAAATTGACACTGTTAAAACCTGTGGCCAGCCACTGTAATGAGCTGCCACGAAATAGCTTGTCGGCGGACCCTTGCTCACGGCGGTCCAGAAATCGTCGCTGAGGCCCACTGTGTAACTGTAGTCTCTGTGAGGCCTGCAGAAATACATCAATGGCTGTGTGGGGTAGTCGCGGGTGGACTGCCACGCATGGCCATCGCTCGCCTCACCTTTACCAGTATAGCAGCTTCTGGAGGTGTCGGAGGAATTTGGGCAATCCTTCACACAGATGGGATATCTGATCTCCAAGCTCTTGTTTGCTTGCGACTCCCTCAGACAGAAAAAAAGGAATTTCATTCCGTGATACCTTCGCTTGCCGCAAAGCTCTCCTTGGAAGTTGGGCGGTCTAAACATGATCGCTGGCTTCCCACCCCGGCTGGCTGCAATGTGTGTTATCCAGCCGCACACGCCAAAGAGCGCCAAGAAGGGAATTATCCAGGCACTATTTGTGCATTTGCGTTGCACTGTGTTGGGGGTCTTCCCCCTGTCTCTTGGATCCGCTAAATTTTTCGGCAGCGCTGCGTCCGACACGTTGAAGCCATCCTCCGACCCAAAATCGCTGGATACAGCAATTTCGGCATATGCAGGAGAAAGCTGCCGCATATTGACTGGAGCGACTGCAAACTCGAACCAGTTCTTCTTTCAGCCGCTTAGGATAGGGTTCGCAGACATGTCACGATTGTGAACCACGAGAGAGGAATTGAGATTCAAACATGAGAAACGTTTTGTATTAACCACGAAGACAACCTCCGAGCTCAGACCTGTTCCTTGTTGAGGGGCCGTCGGCGGTCCACGGGGGCAGACAGACAACATCTCCAACAGGGCTGGGGGACAACGCAGTTCCACTCAGTCGTGGAGTCCTCTCTCTTGCAACATGGTACTTCTCGTCGTCTGAAACTTCCACGTGAACGCCTGAACCCTTCCTTCTCTTCCCTCGCGATATTTCTGTGCTGTCGCCAGCATTCCAAATAGGCTTAGGACATCTTAGGACCCTGCTTTGGCTCGCAGCTGGGACATCGCGTGGGTACTGCATGGGCTAGAAGTGGCGGGAACAAGACACTCACACACACACACACATGCATGCAAGTTTGGACGATGACCATGCTGCAGCTAATCCTTACCTTTTCTTGGGCACAGTGCCTTGGAACGGCAGCAAGTAGACGGCAATGCTGTGGGAATGCCAGTCAGGTTGGGACAGTCCGAACAGTTTTTGTGCATCAGGAGTGTAGATAGAATTCTTGATTGCACAAACACTTGCATTGACCCAACCCACGGCTGTGGGTGAAACGATGAGGTGTCATAGCCCACTTGCCAGCTAGAAGCGAAGTCGGAGCCAGACTCTCTAAGATTACTCACCCTTGCGGCGCAGTTCAGGCTAGGCAGAACAAACGCAGAGCGTTCGGCATTGAAGGCAGTCGCCTAAGTCGTACTGAGCACCTTTAATCATCTGTGCACGGGTCCTTCACCTGTGCGCTTGTCAATGTCTCCCTCTTCAAACACCTGAAAAGCACCAGCGTTATGAATTCCTGCTGCGCTAGAACAGGACAGTGCCGACACTCGAAAGATTTACAGGCGACCAAACTGTTGTATGTCTCTGCGCGAACTTCGGAACCAGTCTCTGGGTCCACAGTCATTTGCTGAAGCACATGCAGTGACGTTCGTGGGGAGGTCAGCACATGATTCGTTCGAGATCGGCGAAGCGCTGCCTGCTTTAAAAGGCACAGTCACAGAAAATCTCCGCGCGGTCAGATGCGCTTTAGCTCCCATGCGTGTTAAGGTCATGACCCGGAGTTTAAACGTAGCATCTGCAGGCCATCGTCAGAGTATAAAAGTCCAATACTGAAGAAGTATTCTTTTCCGTGACTGTTGCGTGCATTCTGACACGAGGAGCTTGCTGCGTTCGTTAACGCTCACTACTCTGCCCACCTGAACTTGCACAGATCGGGGTCCTCAAATAAAGTCTCTGTGAACACGGCTTGCTCTTGTAATGTGTGCAGTCAGATCGCGTCACTAGTGAGTACAGGAGGCAGCGTTTGCTTCTGGCTCTTAGCGCGGAGCTCGCTGGGCACCCTGAGCGCAGACTCCAACTCCAGTTTGCACATCTAAGTGATGAACTGGCCTCAGAGTACACCGTTTCGCTGTCCAGCAGGCGGAAGCGAATCCAAGGCCATTCGCCTCAAAGAGCGTGTCAGCTGGGCCCACAGGTCTCTTACAACCTCTCTGCGGTCGCTTAGAAGCAAGCGGGTTACCGGGCGCCTGCCCTGTTGAAACGGGCCTGGCCCGGGCAGCGAGAGACGAAGGCGAAGGCGAAGGAAGTTCTCTCCTTGCCTGGCCCTCAAGCCAGCAGCTGCCTCGGAACGGCGGCCTCCAGAGTTGCAACCCTCACGTCACTTCTACATTGATTATCTCCTACTTGTAGAAAGCACCAGTCTGCCAGTCCCACGTGCAAGCTGCTATCAAAGCAAGCATCCGTTGCAGTCAGCTTCAGGCTACCGGCTTTCTGGCGACGCAACCATTACCGAGACTTACCGAGAACCTGATGCCGTGATGGAGCGAGGCTTGCCCCCGGGACCGCGTGGACCACACCTTGCGTCGGGATAACGCCGCCGGACAAAGAGGTTAAGTTCTCCCAGATGGCGTTGTGCAAGTCTACTGCGGCATCCTGAGATTGGAACTCTGGAAGCCTTAAACCATGTTGCGGCCTCAGGCTGGCAAGGGGCACTGCAAGCTTGAAGCAGTAAAACCATGATAAACAACAAGACGAAGTAAAAGCACTCGGTTCTTGTAGGGCGGAAGGCCTTTGTTGCCCGTTGATGCGGGAGGCCTTTAGCTGCCGGCAGAAATCGGATCTCAGCATGCTGCATAGGGAATGTCGGCGAAGATGGTTTCTTGGAGTCCTGGAGTCGTCCGTTGACCTGGTTGCACGCTCGGAGATCTCAGGAGATGCACTTGCTGGCAAGGTCCTACCTCCAATCGCGCCCCACGTCGAGGGCCACCTATACCAGCTGGGTGCAAAAAGGCGCAGCTGGCACAAACGCATCGCTTTGCATCCCAGCCTCCAAACAGCGAGGTAAGCACGCTGGTCCTCAGACTCTGCGGTGCCATGGTTTGCCACAGGGCTGAACTTTGGAATTTTGGATGGTGGCATGGACTAAGATGGTCCAAGCTACGGTCTATGTGACATTTACCGAGCCTTACGTGATCCCATTGCTCGGCATCGTCCGGTTGAAAGTTTTAAAGATCGAGGGCATCCTACCCTGTCCTCCGCATCTGCGCCGTCTGGCTCTCTTTTGGCACAGGGCCGGCAGCCATTGCCTGCGACGCCGCCTGGGAATCAGCGTTAAGGCGAACCTGGGCTGGGAAAGTCGAACTGTCAAACGGTGCGAACTGCAAAAACGAGTTTCTACTTCCGTGCCCGCAGACAAGAGCATCACTAGGCACTACGCAGCAATTGCTGTCTGGAAACTACAACTGCTGTGATGTCGTCCGACATCTGGCCATCAGTGGCGATCTGCCACCGCTGGCGGGCAATTCCTGGCACATCAACCACTACCTGCAATTTCACAACATGACATGCTTGACCTGAGAAGTCTTTGCCGGAAGACCACCCGGGTCTTCGAGAACACAGTCAAAGCAAATTATGGTTCGCCAAGGCTTTGCGGCTACAGGCGCAGGAGCACCAGGAGTGGATGCCCAACAGCCGTCACGACATACTATGGTAGCAGGCCCTGCAGCTTGGCCGGCGGTGATATGATATTGCCCTTAACGCTTGTGCCCTGCGACGAATGAATCCAAAACGGGGCCGGACGGAAGAGCGGAACAGCAATAAGTCAAGTCAACAGGTCTTCTACCTGGCAGAGACGCCACTACAACCACCGGCCCCTCCTAGAGAATCTTTCGAACCTCTGCTTACACGCATTTCCCTGCAGTCATCACGAAGGTGCCTGTGATTTCGCGCGCTGCGGCCTTGGGATCGTCAACTCTGCCCGCGATCTCGACGGCCTGCCAGGTTGCTCCGAGGTTTCTGTCGAGAGGTAACCCTGCAAACAGAGGCTTGCCACCAAGAGGTGTCGCATGGTGCCACAGTGGCTCAATGCCGTCAACATTCAAATCCCACCCCTACCAGCACCTCATCTGATTTTTGAATCGAGGGCATGCCTGTCTGCCCGAAGAGTCATGCCATGTCGGGCCTCTTGGGAGGTCACGTGATCCCAAACACCATCAGAAGCAAGTACGAGTACCTCCCACAGCTACAATTGAATTGCTGAGTGCAGCAGGCTGGCATCTCTAGAGACATGACAGTAGTCACTCTTACATCGCCTTGTCCCTGCTGTCCAGCTTTCGCTCGACGACCTCCGGTTGTGAGCTGACCTTGGCTGCCACAGCCGTTCTGAACCGTCCTGGGTCCTTGGCCGACTGCAGCGACCGCAACGACCGGTTGCAGCCTCGTGGCATATGGGTGGAGCCTGCAGTACGCAAGCACATCGCTGTTTTCGTCATGTGGTTTGTATGTGTCTAAAGGCTGATGCCCATTCAAGGCCTCAAGTCGCCAAGGGAGCGAGACATCGCCAAGCCGCCCATGCCTGGTCCGCTCACTGCGAGAGACACTTAGAATGCTGGACTCTTGTTCAAGCGGTACCTTGCTTGTCCATGACACGTTCTGGACCTGCGCACACAGAGAGGAACCCAGGAAGCCACATGGCAAGCCCGCCCAATGGTTGTCCTGCGCGTATCCATCTCACGCCGCCACGCTGGACAATCGGGATGGCCATCTGATCTACCTAAAGCAACTGAAGCTACGGCCCAATCGACCAGGCATTGGTCTTCGGGGCACTCAGTGTTTCGAGAAGGTACGAGCGAACTTCATCTCCAAGAGGCACACAAGGTTCGGAATCACTTGCCAAGCCACAGTCCCACCAGCAGCCAGGATTCGTTGGCGCTCGTCTGGACGAGCCGGTTTCCTTTGTGTGGTCTCATTGATCGTGCCACCGGAATGATCTTTCGAGTGCGGAGCTTTCAAGACGGCTTGCCTTTAGTTCCTCTCTTAGGGCACGTGTCTAAAGAGCTTAGGCCTGCACTGGTCATTGGAAAGGTCCACAGCAGACACAGTCTGCCGCGCAGGGGTGCTGCATCGACCCAGCACAGCCCGCGAGTCCCCCACCTAAGCCGTGACAAGCTGACCATTCTGTGATGCAGAAGCACACGCGAAGAAAGCACGGGCTTGCTGAAGAGTGGGGACACGATTCAACAATTCAACATGAATCAACAAGCCGAGTAGAGGTGGTGTCCACCAGTGGCCCAATCGTGTTATATGGGCTACGGCAGCTATGAGCTACTCGATCATCAAGCACGATAGCAGCAAAGGGGCCAGGCGGCAATGCGCTGGTGCCGGCACAGTACTCGTGCCCAGTCATGCATCGCCACATTTGCACGTTCCCAGTATCATGGAGCCCACGGCGGACTCCCTGCTAGCTCCCGTGGAGGAAACTATCACACACCAAACCATCAGATCATCAGCAGGAACACAACCGAAAGTATCCTGAGCAAAAATGAACACAATTCATTGTGTGGTCGTGTCCGCACCCCATTGTTTCACTCCCCCGCGCCCTCGTGGCGTGGTGCCTGGTACTGCTTGGTTCTTGGTCGCGTGGCTTCTTTGTCCCCCACTTTTTTGTGGGGTGGTCTGTTCTGGTTCGCGGTTGGGTTGGAGTGGGCAAGAACACCGGCCCTTTCACCAACCTTGTGTTGGCTCTAGCATGCAGTCGGCTGTCTCGTCGCATGCTGTCATACTGTGTGACATTGTAGGTGTTTCTGCACTACACTCGACCGGAGGCGATGGCGCTCCCTTGCGGATGGCGCTCCATCCCTGTGGCTTAGCTTCGCTCTGGCGCGAATCCTTGCCCCGACACCCGTCGCCTCCTCCCTCTCGTTTGGGTGGGTTGTGTTCCGATCGAACCGCGTCCTCAACCTGCCCCCCACGAAAGCAATGAGATCACGGCTACGTGCCGGCTGCTGTCGCCATGGTTGAAATGCCATCTTGCCACGCATGTCGAAACTTTGAAAGAGTAAAGAAAAACGTGGCACCAACAGGTCCAATCCCAGCGACTATTGGCAACGTTGCGTTAGGGATCCCATCCTCCGCTCCACAAAGACACAGCCAAACTCCCGCATGTGCAGGAAGCGGACTCCAGGCAGCCACGGAAGCATTCTGACCCACGAAGAAATGCGACGACTATTTGGAGGATCGTGCCCAACAAACTTGACTCGATCCCTGTGACTGTCGTCGCAGACAGTCACGAAGCGGGGTGGCGCGAGGGGTGGTACCCTGGAAGGCGAGGGTGGCGGAGGGCAGGAGCAACGGCGGCAGCTGCAGCAGCGACAGCAGCATCAAAAGCAGGTGTCGTAGTACAGTGCGCAGTGCAGCAGAAGTAGAAGGACAAGGTACAAGTAGATGCTGAATGAAGAAAGAGAGCATTCTCGCGGAAGACCTTGGCATCGGAAAAACTAGGGGAAACAGCACTGCCAATGCGGTAGTGCCCACTACGAGACGATTCTCCACGGTGGTGGTAGTAGTAGTAGTAGTAGTAGTAGTAGTGGTAGTAGTAGTAGTAGTAGTAGTAGTAGTAGTAGTTGGTAGTGGTAGTGGTAGTGGTAGTGGTAGTGGTAGTGGTAGTGGTGGTGGTGGTGGTGGTGGTGGTGGTGGTGAAGCTGCTGTTTCTCTTCCTGTTGCGATTGTCGTCGCTGCTGCGGTTGCATGCTACGTCCTGCCGTCACTTAGCTTCGCTTTTGGCATGGCCGGGCAAATCAGCGGCGCGTTGTGGTTATGCACTTGAGCGGAGCAGCTTGCATGGGAAGCCTTCTCGGCAAGTGCTCAGATGCTCAGAGGCTGCTGACAACTTTGCCCGGTCGGGAGAACTTGAGGGATACTGCCTGGTGGCTGAGGTTCCTTGGTTCTCCCAATGTGTTTCAGTCTCTAACGTCCGGGCACTAAGAATGCCCGGGCGGATGGAGTGGTAGCTGAGCACATGGGGACCTACGGCGACGTAGTGCTGTCAGGCTGTTGATGACTGTTACAATGGTTGTGCGTTTCTGCTGCCAAAAGCCCCAGTTCCAACTCGGGTTTCGAAGGCTGCGGCACCCTGATGGAAATCCTATCGAACAGCCGATGATGTCCGGGTGCTGGCAAGCTTTCGAGTGCCACTGGTAGAGTTTGCTCTAGGCCTTGCCTTGAGCTTTCAAGCGGGCTTTGCAGCAGCTTCAGGATGGGCGGCTTCGGGTCGGGTACGCCCTCTTAGTGGCAAGTTCCATCTTTGCCCCAGAACTGAACGATGGGAGCAGCTTCTTTGCTGAGGAAACACGGGTAGCCCGGTGGCACCGAGCCACAGGGATTGGCAGTTTTGTTTCGCAGGACTCATCAATGCGCAAGGAGCAGAGGTCAGTGCAGATGATCTATCTTAAGCATTAAGCGGGATATGCATGCACCGATGAGAAGTCTGACGCACTGGCACCTTTACGCTGTGGTAGCATGACTGACAATGGCCAACTGCCTGGAGCATGCATGTCTTCAAAGGACTTGCATGTGCGGCAGCTGTAAGCAACATCATGTTTTTTGAATGGGCCGTGACCGGGTTCGGCTTTCACGAGCATTTAGCCTGCCAACCTGCCATGAAGTGCCCTGTCATCGCGTTGCCGGTTGCCCGGTCAGAGCGAAGTGTATATACCGATCATGCATTTAGTTTACGTTACAGCCGCAGCCACCGCAAGGTGGGCTGTGGACAAGAATTCAAGGTCCGAGCACGCAAGGTATCAAACATTCAGATCACCGTGCCGTAGAGGCATGCGCAAGTGAAGCTTGGGCTAATCAGTCTTGGGCTCCATGCTCCCAGCGATTGCGCCAACAGCATGGGCGAAGAGCGGCTCGCTTATGCTTAGCGTCTCGAAATGTGTAAACTTCTGCTACATGGCATGAGTGGTAGGGAAGGGTTGCGAGCCGTGTGGACTCGGACTCTTGCTGGCCTGTCCTAGAGGAGTGTCCTCCTCAGTAAAGCTGCGCCGTGTGCGATGTACAGGGGCCAGCCGGGGTCTGACAGATGCCGAATTCTTGATTCCCGACGGCATCCATTTCAAATTCAATCAGGGAGTTCCGCAGGGATGCCCGCTGGACATGCAAGAAGTGCAGCAGATGTCTCATGCCACAAAGCTAAGCATGCTGTGAGTTGGGAATTTCATGTGGGTGCACCTCGTTCCCTGCGAGTCTCTCACGGCGTCCGCAGCCTGGCTCCGTTAAAGAGGCTTGTTTGTGTGGGTCATTGCCCGAAGAGGTATTGCTCCAATCTTTCTTGTTGTCTGGTGGGGCAGTTGCTTAGTGACGTACTCCTCGCTGCACTCGTATATATTCGTGGCGTTGGTGTCCTAGCTGTGCCTGCGATCCTTCATGTCAGCAGCACCGTCGAGCTCCTTGCCTTCACATGGAATTTGCTCGAAGTCCCGGCAGCTGAAGCTGAAAGTGTCCGCACCTGGTATACTTCACAAAGGACAGGCATCGAAAAGTGGCGACTGGGTCACGGCATCATCTGATGTGTCTATGCTGAATCAGCGATTGTACAACAGCTCCTCAGCTGCGTTTCGGCATGCTCCAGCTGAGCGCCTGTGCAACGAGCTGAATCCATGTTTTGAGACTGCCAGCGATGCCTGTGCGAGGCCAACGAATAGACACGTTTCACACGCCAGCGAAGTTGGATCCACAGAGCCCGAGCCCTTATGAAGCCTCTTGGCAGACATAGTTTCTGGGCTCTTCGAGGTCATCGCTAAACCACGGTGTGTCCGGCAAGGGAAGAGCCCGGGAAGAATGCAAATTGAAGTAGACATTTGTCCTTGCAGCCTGTGCAGGTGTTGCTTGCTAAAGAGGCTGAATAACATCTTGTTCATTATGCTTTAGCTGCGTGTCCTTTCGTATGTTTTTTCTGCTATTGAGCCCCTTCTGCCTCAGTATCTCTGTCTCCCTGCATCTGTAAGCAGAGGCCTCGCCAGAGCGGCGCTCGCCGTCACCCACCGAGCGTCCGTCCTCTACGCCACTGAGCTTCGATGCTCGGGAGACTCACATAGTAGTGAGCATAGAAACAAGGGCTTCAGCACACTTCTAAAGTACTTCAGGCCACTTTGCCAAGTGCTAACTACTGCCAATTCGCATCTACTACTCTGAAGGCCGTCTCCAGCTGCTTGTGTGCATTGCTTCAAGTGTTTCCAACACGTGCCAGCTGTGAGCGTTATTGTCAGAAGTTTCTCTTTGTACGTCTTTCTACTCCTATGTTTGTTCCGTGCTTCAGGCTTCAGGACGAGGCTGCAGAGCCACTTAGGTGAGTTTTGAAGAAGAGGCAACCCCACGACGGCGAAACCTCTTGTCAAGCGTCTCTGAGTGTATTGAGCGGGGTACGTCAACAAAGCCATTGTGCAGGACGGTCAGTATGGCCATCGGTTGGTAGACCTCGTGAACAATTGGAACGAGGCCAGAAATAGGAGATAGACTCTTACTTGGACTTTGTCACTTGGTCTTATTTTTTCCCAAACTTTCGCCTCGGAGGACACCCGACGCATGCTTCGAGAGGAGCTGACTTTGCACTCTCGGGCCGAGCTGACGCCCCCCGGCGGCAGCCACCAGCTTCCGATCTGGGGGGCCTTCGGTGTAAGGAGTCGAAGAGAGCAGATTCGTCTCTGCATCTGGGCATCGGGGGAGACTGCCAGCTTCTCGCCAAGGCAACCTTCCTCTCCGGCCCCTCTGGATGATGCTTCTTTACAGACGAATCTGCAGACCATATTGGCCGAGCCGTGGATTGGATTTGCTTGCTTTTTCTACACAGCGTTTCGACAGTGTTCATGTTCGCGGGAAGGCTGTGTCAGGCTTTGGTGGGACAGGTGACTTGTGTGTTTTGCGAGCGAATCCATTGGAGAACCCCAGGCAGTTTGAAGGCTGCGACTGCTGCTGGCTAAGGAAGTGAGACACTTGCAGCACCAGTCTGCAGGTTGGTGCGATCACTGTGGGGCTCTGGGGCGAGTAGCCATTGCTCAGGAGGCGCGCCACCGACAAAAATATTAGATTTCTATCTTCTTGGCGGAGTTTCGTTTTTTGCAGCTATCTCCAACCAGCAGCTGCTAGGAGCTGAC